AATTCAAAAAAACGCGAGCCGCGTGGTGGCGCAATGCCTTAGTCCAGCTACTCGGGAAGATGCTGGAGGCATGAGGATCGCTGAGGTCAGACAGGCACGCAGCCTGAGCAAGATCGAGACCCCGTATCTAACTAAAAATATGAAAGAACTTAATTTGCCACGTATACATAGACTGTAGAAAAAAAGACGGCTTGTGCGCGTGCCTGTAGTGCCAAGCTAACACGGAGGGAGCTGAGCGGGAGTCGCTGGAGCCAGGATTGAGCTGCTGTGAGCGAGGCTACGCCCGCCGGCGTCACCCCAGCCCGGCCGAAAGCCGAGACTCTTGTCTTAAAAAAAAAAACAAAAGAAAGAATACAGAATTGTAATAATAAAAATATACATTATTTATACATACATCCATGGACATGCCAATTTATAGTACAATTTAATTGCACTCAGAAATATCTTCTCTAACCTTTTCTATTTATTTCCTAGAATTTTTTTCTAGGGCCCGTATTAATAGTTTTTTTTGTAGACTTTGATCATATTCTAAGTTACCCAGCATGTTCCGTTTTTTTTTTTTTTTTTCCCCTTAAAATTTATTATGCGGAACTATCTACACATAACAATGAGCCATTATCTTTCACTTTATTTTTTTTTATTTTTTATTTTTGAGACAGATACACCCCCCCCCCGCTTTCTGCCCACGCTAGATGATTGCCGTGGCTAGCCCTCGCACAGCAACCTCAAACTCCTGGCTCAAGCGAGCCTCCTGCTCAGCCTCCCAAGTACTGGACTACAGCATGCCCACCATGCCGCAATTTTTTGTAAATATATAGTGGCCAGTAATTTCCTTCTATTCTATAGTAGATACGGGTCTCGCTCTTCTCAGGCATGTTTTCGAATCCTGACCTTAGCGATCCTCCCCCTCGGCTCCAGACGGCTAAGATGACAGGCGTGAGCCTCCGCGCCGCCTTCTCTGTGCTTAATATTGTTTAAGTGACTGAGTACCGTTTTTTCCACAAGTGCTGCCCTTCTGCTTCCACGCCAGGAAGCAAATCGGCTTTCAGTTCTTCCATCCCTCATTCAATCCTGGCATTGTAACAAAAATGAAACCAAAATCAGAGGCATAGTATCCGCAACAATATAAATATTTATATATAAAACACGAAAACACATATACTGATTTTTTTTAAATTTATTACAACACAGAACAGAAAATCATCAATGAATTTTTTGAGACAGATTAACATCTCCTGTGACCAGGCTAAAAAGTCACAAACAACAAAAAAAAGCTGCGCGCGGTGCTCACCCGCCTTTAATCCTACACTCTGAGGCGAGGCGGACCGATCCTCGAGGTCCAGAGTAACACACACCTGAAACAAGAGCCGAACACACAAAACAATATCTCTATATAATAAAAGATAATGCCAATAAATAAAAAACAAAAACACATAAAACATGTGGCGATGCTGTACATCCCACACTGGGATGGAGGCTGAGCAAGGACGAACGATCGCTTTGAGCCCGGGAGTTTGAGTTTGCTGTTAGCGAGGCTGACGCCACGTCATACACTCTGCCTGGACAACAAACGCGAGACTGTCTCCAAAAAAAAAAAAAAAAAATTCAGTTATCATCTTACTACCACAGCAGCCTCCAATCCTGGCCTCCACCGATCCTCCTGCTCGTCCTCCCTCCCAGGCAGCTGGGACTACAACCGGCCACCAAACCCGCTGTTTTTCAATATTATTAACACATTTTTAGTTGGCCAGCTCATTTATACTATTTTTTTTTTTAGTAAACTCGTGATCTGCTCTGCTCAGGTGGCCTCCGAACCTCCCTGACTCGCAGCGATCCTCCCCTCCTCCGGCCTCCCTCCCGAGTAGCTGAGACACATTGTTGCACCATCCAAGCGCCTAATTTTAATTTTTTTTCTTGTACCAGATGGGGTCTCGTTATTGCCCAGGCCTGGATCCTCAAACTCACTGCCATCGAAGGCGATCCTCCCGCTCGACAAAAACACCCAGATAAAATTAAATAAGCCATCGCCCGGCTATTTACGATGATTTTTTTTTTAAAGAGATAAAAAAAAAATGACCATGAACCAAGCCGACAAACTCGCCATCATACCAGCCCTCGGAGCCCAGACGGGAGGATCCCGAGGTCAGGCGAGAACCAGCCGAGCAGAGCGAGACCCGTCTCCTACAAAAAATATAAATTAGGTTGACAAGTAAAAAATATATAGGAAAGAACTGAACCACCGTGGTGGCGCATGCCTACCCCAGCTACCGGGAGGTGGCTGAGCGGGAGCATCCTGAGCCAGAGTGGAGCTCTGTGAGCGACGCCTGACGCCACGCACTCCACTCTAGCCCGCGGCGACCAGGCCAGAACTCTGTCTCAAAAAACAAGCACACACAACAAAAAAAAAAAAATTTAAAAATTAGCCGGGCTCTGTGGTGCACAAATGTAGTCTCAGCTACTCGGGAGGGAGGCCGAGGCGGGAGGATCACTCGAGGTCAGGAGGTCGAGGCCAGCCTGAGCAAGAGCCAGACCACGTTTCTACTAAAAAAAAATATATATATATAAAATGAGCTGGCCAACTAAAAATGTATAATATTGAAAAAACGAGCCGGGCGTGGAGGCGCGTGCCTGTAGTCCCAGCTGCTAGGGAGGGAGGCCGAGGCAGGAGGATCGCTGGAGGCCAGGAGGTGGAGGCTGCTGTGAGCTAAGACGATGCCACTGAACATTTTTTTTTTTTGTTTTTTTTTTTGATGCCACTGAACTTTTAGCCTGGTCACAGGAGAGCAAGATTCTGTCTCAAAAAATTCCATTTATATTTCAGTTCCCAGGTGCTGTAAATAAATTAAAAAAAAAAATCCATTTATATGTACGTATCTATATAAACAATTATATATCGACGCGGAACTATGCCTCTGATACGGTATCAATAGAACAATGCCAGGATTGATGAGGATGTGAAGAAACTGAAACCATTCTGCATTCTTGGCGTGAACGGAAAACGGTGCAGCCACTGTGGAAAACGGTACGTCAGTCCCTTAAAATATTAAGCACAGAAGGCCGGGCGCGGTGGCTCACGCCTGTAATCCTAGCACAGGCATGCGCCACCATGACCCGGCTAATTTTTTGATATATTTAGTTGGCCGATTAATTTCCTTCTATTTTATAGTATGAGACGGGGTCTTCGCTCTTGCTCAGGCTGGTTTCGAACTCTGAATCGAGCATTCGCCCGCTCGGCCTCCAGAGAGCTGGATTACAGGCGTGAGCCTCCGCGCCGGCCAAAATGAGCCATTTTTAAGTGTATGGTTGAGTGGCATGAAGCGCATTCCTCACACTCTTGTGATCATTCTACGCTTAATTTTTTTTTTTTTTTTTTTTAGCAAGAATCGCGCCTTGGATAAACCTCATCATCGGCCACCATACGCCACCGGCCAAAGCTTATGTGCTATATTTTTTTTTTTTTTTTTTTTTTTTTGAGCAGATCTCACTTGTCGCCAGGCTAGAGTGAGTGCCGTGGCGTCAGCCTCGCTCACAGCAGCCCTCCGATCCTGGGCTCAAGCGATCCTCTCTGCCTCAGCCTCCGAGTGGCTGGGACTACAGGCATGCGCCACCATGCCCGGCTAATTTTTTCTATATATATCAGTTGGCCATTAATTCTTTCTATTTATAGTAGAGACGGGCTCTTCGCTCTTGCTCAGACTGGTCTTGACTCCTGACCTCGACGAGTCTCCCCGCCTCGGCCTCCAGAGAA